TACTGTTCCTGATAGCTTGTAGTCCATCTTTGTGTGGAATATTGGTGTAGAGGGCTTCTGTGTCCAGAGTGGCCAGGATGGTGTTGTAGTCTGTTACTTTAAGAAAAGCATGAAGTACAAAATATACTGACAATGCTACATAAATGTTCAGTTTTTCTTTTAAATGATCATTGTAACTTTTGATGCAATTATTTAATTTGGCTTTTTCTCCGTTAACTGATCAGAAGGGAGATTTACTGGTTAGAACAAAATTTTGAGAGCCATGAAACTAAACTAGTCTGTTACCTTAAGTGAGTCTGTTGACCACCTCAAATCTTTCTAAATCCAGCTATAAAACTGGATTAAAACACACTATCAAAATTGTTTAAGTATATTTCATTCTAATTGAGACTTCATAAGTAAACAATATTGTACTTTTCCATTCTTTTCCCCTCTAGCCCCAAGCATCAAATAAACAAACAAAACTCCTAAATTCTTTGGAATAATTAAGCATAGTTCATTCATTACAAATCATTTTTTCTTGATGTATAAAGATTCAGCCACTATAACGGCCTCTAGATAAATAATCCTGCACAAATCTGCAGTTCATGCATTTCTGAAGCGAGCAGGTAATGTTATTAAAACGTGTTGCTCCCTCTAACACTCAACTTTCCCAACAATGTTTTTATCTTCTCTGATTCTGTAGGGTCATGTGAAGCTATCTGATTTTGGACTATGCACTGGTTTAAAGAAAGCTCATCGAACTGAATTCTACAGGAACCTTACACACAATCCACCAAGTGACTTTTGTAAGTATAAAGGTGTTTGTTAAACGGCTTTAGACTGCAGCCTTTCCACACTGTAATTGTAAGCCTGTTAGGTTTCACAGAATAAACGAGACTGGGTTTGGTTGGGTTGAGTTGTTTTTTTGAGCGGGGGAACTGTACACAGAATAGCTAGGAATTAGAGGAAGGAGATGGTGTTGGTTATTGTGTAGGTGGCACTTTTCTCTGAGTCTGAATTGAACCCATTCCCCATAATGTTAGAGGACCCTGTGCTGCTGGAAATATTCTTCCAGCTGATGAGGACATTCTAGCTGAAATCAGTAATGATCTCATGAAACTTCTTTCGTAATGGTAAGGGTGTCATCCTATTTGCCCTGGTCACATTTCAATGGTAGGTAACTAATTACATGCTACTGATCTAAATTCCCTCTGTGGTTTAATTCGGATTCCTGGTTCTTGACTTCCAGCTTTGCTCTGCAATGGCTGCCATGGTCAGAGGTGCCTGTATTTTATTGGTGGAAGGAGTAATCACTGTATATACATTACCAGGCCCGTCATAAAGGTGTTGAGCTTCAGTTAGTGTTTGTAAAACATTAAGAAATCCTTGGATCCTTGTATCAAATATCATTATTGTTGCTGTTGCACTTTAAACAATCCCCATCCTGGCAGTTTAGGATTGTTGGACATTACCTCCCTTTTCCCTCTCCAGTTCTACCAAAAAAATAAAAATCTGTAATAAAGCATTTTAAAGGTACAAAAAGATTACTTTTGTAAAAATGACATATTATCAATCAGGCTGATTTTTTTTTTTCTTCTACTCTTTCACAAATCTTTTAATGTCTAATAATTCTGTTTTGTAAATAAGCATTTCAGAATATGAACTCAAAGAGAAAAGCAGAAACGTGGAAGAAGAACAGACGACAGCTGGTGAGTCACTTCACAGTGGAACCTAGTTAAATTTTGTAGAAATAAAGTTGTCTGCACATACCTCTTTGTAAAGACAAACATGAGACAAATTTAAAAAATCTGCATTAATGTTCAAGTTGTTGCCTTAATATCTCAAAGGCCCAGATCACGCAAACATGAATGTACTTAACGTTGTGTGAGTAGTTCCACTGTAGTCAAGAGGCAGTGTGGTTTAGTGGTTAAGGCACCAAATTCAATCACAAGACCTGAGGGCAGATCTTCAGTTGGTATAAATGTTCATAGCATGGAGCCATGGAAACTTATACAGATCTGCCACTTTGAGCACCTATTCCTGGCTCTGCCACTGGACCTGCTGTCAAGTCAAATTCACTACTTTGTGCTTTTGTTTCCCCTCCCACCTTTCGTTTGTCTTGTCATTTAGACTGGAAACTCTTCAGAGCAGGGATTGCCTCTCACATATGTTTGTATATTACCTTGCACAGTGGGGTCCCCCTCTCAGTTGGGTTTTCTAAGTGCTATCATCATACACTGAATTAATGCTAACAGCAAGTGTTTGCATGATCAGTGCCTAAGTGAGGACATTCAAAAACAGTCCAACAGCAAAGGTAACTCATCCACATTGTACAACTGTGTTCATATAATTGATTCAATGCTTTGTAAATCACAAACTGTCATATATTAAACTCATAAAATAATAACACAAGTATGTCTTTGCTGTATTTGAAAATATTAATAAATATTTATAAATAGAAAAAATAATAAACATTGTATATGTGTAGTACAGCCAAGCAAACATTACTTTCTGATCCTTAACTTTGGCATTTCTTGACTCGATAAAATTTACCTTAGAGGTTGAGCTGGTTTAAAAAATCTGAAACATTGGGTTTTCAAAACACCTATTTACTTGTGTGTTTTATAATTTTATAGGTTGTGTCTTCACTGCACGGTTAACTTGGGGGATTGGCAGTTGGGTGTGAGCCCCTGGGTGGGTCTAGTTCGGGTGTGAGCAGCCAAACCGTAAAGCCATACTTGAGCATGTCCACTAGACCGAGTCAACACTGGCACTGCACTCGCTTGTGTGAGGCACTAGGACTTCTGAGGTCTCATCCCATGGTTCTTTGCACTGCAGTAAAATGAGACGCTCTGTGATTGTTTCCTAGTGAATTATAGGAGAACTTGTCTGTCTTTCTGGGCACGGAGGGGGATCTGTGGAAAGGCATTGGAGAACTATCAGCAGTTGAGTGAGCCTGCATCCTCACTGCAAAGTAGGCAGGTTACCAGCCTGAGTGTAATTAGCATTTGGGCTTTAAGTAGAGATGAGTGACGTTCAAAATTTCCATCTGTCAGGAAATTCCTGACCAGCTCTAGCTTTAACCTGTACCCCAGGATAGGCCAGTGAGCAAAGCACACCTCACTTTTTTGTGTGTGAATGGAAGCCACGTTAGGGGAAACACCAAACGCAGGGTATGTCTACACTACGGGATTAATCCGA